AAAAAAAATCGGCAAGCCAACAGTTTCTAGCTGTTTCCTAATTTGATTTTCGTAAGTTATCTGGTTAACAGAGCAGAGATCCGGCTTGCAAACATATACGATATGGAAGCAAAAAGTGAAACATTTTAAAAGAACATTTTGGCATTCTTACAATCCAGCTAAATTGTGACCGTTGTTCAGGACCCCACACTGTAGTTACGAACGTTGAATCGTCTTCGTTTTTCTTTTTTCTTCCTATTACAATCACGACCAAAAATTACATAACCTGAAAAACAAATTATTGAGGGTTGCATGTGAAAGACATTTCATCAGATCATTAAAAAAAAACAAAGCCCTTGATGCGTTTTGTGTGCAAATATTCTCTGTGAATTCTGTGTTCAGTTCTTTGAACTAATCATTTTAAAATAATTAAATGTGCATCTTTCTCAAATATCCACTGATGAGTTCCCCGCCCGGGACGAATAAAAGTTTCACTATTTTGATTCGAACGCCACCCTGTTTTTTTTTTTCTTCAGGATATGCTCCAAAACGGCGCCTTCACAGAAAAAATTCAAATATTTCGTGCAGTTTAATTCCGTGCTGCTGGCGGGATATTTGAGCACAACATATAGTCACTGTTTCCAGCGAAACAATGGAGAAAGAGCTAACAAAACTGGTGCCTCGCGTGATCGACGAAAAAATGTTGGTGATGGGGAGTAGAGCCGGGGCCATTCTTTCAACAGAGTCGGAGAAAAGCGCGGCAGGTGCAATTTTCCGGGAAGAGGGGGTCGCCTGGGACTCGGTGCAATCCCTGGTTCTGGAGTTTAAGGGTGAAGATTTATTGCCAAAATTTTCCTCTCGTCCTCTGGTTACGTTTTTCCTCCACTTTAAGCAATGCCATATGTGTTGGGCACAACCCCTAGCTGTGCCTATGGTAACTCGAACCCTTATTTTTCTTCCACGAACCCGGACGTCTAACGAACGCCAGCTGTGTTTTCATGTTCTGTAGCCATAAATTCGCAAGAGAGGCATAGAGTCGCGTAAAAACGTCACCAATTCTTGAAATGCAGACGAAATGCCGGTAATTGAAAAAAACACCCGGAATATATGCAGAACATTTCTGAAACGCAATACTGAACAGTAATTTTTCAAAAAGTCCAGCGTATATCGGTGTTAACAACTAAAAATAGCTCTTTCAGTGAATAATGATATACTGCATTCTCTCAATTCCACGGCCAGAAATATGCCTGATCACAAATCTGTGGAATTTCCGGAACTTGAAGTCACTGGACTTGAGTAACAACTTGATCCAGGAAATCTGTGGATTGGAAACGTTGCATAAGCTTCAGAAGTTGAACTTATCCTTCAACTACATCACAAAAATCCAAGGCTTGCAAACTCTGACCGATATTCAAGATCTTTCTTTATACGAGAACAAAATCGAAGTCCTGGAAAATTTGGACGAACTAAAAAAACTGAGAATCTTCTCCATCGGAAACAATCAGCTGTCTTCGATTAGCAATGTAAGGTCTTCATGATTGTAATTCCATGTATTGAAAAGAAACGATTTTTAAAATGATTTCGTCTCGTATAGATTCTATATCTGCGTAAGTTTGCAGATCTGAGGGGACTGACACTGAAAGGAAACCCGATTTCCGAGCAGGCAAATTATTTTTCGTACGTTGTTTCCCACCTGGAACAAATAACCTTTTTCGACTACAGATACCTTCTGGACTCCGAACGTGAAGATGCTTTGGAACAAAACAGGTTAGAAAATGATTGTCTTTGTGTTAGTGTGACTTTTGATTCAATTCACGTTGAATTTAAGCTTGGATACTTTTAAATTCCAACAAAACTGTTTTTCAAATATGCATTTATAAGTATGCTGCTCGAATTTCCTGAACACCGTCATGACTTTCAAATTCAATCCTCGAGCCACGGATTTATATCCCCAAAGTCTAAGAAATATGTTTGAGCTTTATTGGATTGATCGCGTGTAAATTAAAAAAAAATCGCATGCTCCTCAAGTTATCATGTCATTTTAATTAATATATCACGGGAAAGTACTGTAGCAATTGCTTGATGTATTTAATGCGTCTTGCAATCTTCTCTTCATTGTAGCAAGCTGCTTTCCTCATTACGTGCGAGTAATGACGAAAATTAATTTTCCCGCCAACCTAATCAAAATGAATCAGCTCTATAATTGCATTTTGAGCAGGCCCATCTGAAACATGAAAGTAAACCTTTTTCAAAAAGCAGGTTTCATCTGTACTCGTATTCCGCGCAAAGAACGTTTGTGTTTCAAAAAAATGAGGCTCAAAACAGTACTCTGTGTCGCGAATTTTTTAGTTCTATTTTTAGAGATGGCAGTTTGAGAACCCGAATTCTCGTCCTTGAGGACAAATTCCACTTTCCGTGAGAACCTCGGAAATCCTCGGTTCTCACGTAACTTACGAAAGCCTCCAAGGCTACATTTCTCTGCTAATCTCAGTTTCTCGTCCTTGTAGGACTGTTTTCCTGTTCTCCAAAATAACCANGGCTGTGAACAAATAATGTCTTATGTATATAGGATAGCAGTGGAGACTCTGACGAACGAGGAAAAGCGGTTCAACAAGGTCCTACAAAAGCAACGAGAAGAGGAGGAAAAGCGGAACTTGCTGACTTTAGCATTCGTCGACGTCATAACCAGTCCTTTGGGTCTCTTGGATTTCTTTGGGATTCCAGAAACCGTAAAGCAAAAGTGTGCTTTGGATAACTTCGAAGAGCTCTTCGGGCCGATAGTCGGAAAAACGCTTTCCAAGTAAAGTCTCCCAACTCTATTGACGGAGAATATTTATTTATAAAAAAATGGCTTCCATGTGTTATGCCATTTTATTTTCAGATTCTGGGAAGAAGGGAAAAAGGTGCTCCTGGTTGCTCAGGAAAAGGGACTGAAGGCTTATCAAGTGAGGAACTCCGACGTTCACAAAATCAAGGAATCGTTCAGTGCAATTGATAAGGAGAGTAGAGATGAAGCAACGAGGTACGTCAAATGTCATTGGATGCAGATGATTTGTAGCGAAGAAACCAAGATTTCCACTCGAAAAATACGATTAACTGAAATGGGTCCTACCATAAGATTTGCAATTGAAGAAATTCAGGAAAACTGCAACTATTGAAAAGATTAAAAATCACATTTCTTTGTAGATTGTCTTTGCGACAGTGGATAAGCTATTCAACCTCCTTCTATTAATTTTCGTAGTCATTTTTGAGATTAATTGAATCTTTGTAATTCATCTGCTATCAATAATAGGTATGAGAGTGAGAATATGCTGTTGTACACCCAAATAAGGAAAACATCACGGCTTAAAAAGTCGACATTGACAATTTTTCAACCTGATCTTCATACACAAGCTGATAAATACCTCATCCCAGAATTCCCAAACCTTTTGCGGCCCGGCAAATTTCCAAAAATTTCGCAGACCCAACATACTGTAATTTTGTTTGGAAAACTTTACAGCAGATATTTTAAAAGTTTCTGCTTTTGTCTTGCAAAAATTAAGACAGGAACCAATGAAGCAGCTATAGTTGAATATCTTAAAAAAAAAAATTAGAAAGGTGGGCTCCAAGAAAGGTTCTCAGAATGAAAAATTCATACAATTTATTTCAGCTGGTAAAAATTTGTCTGAAGTGTTATGAGGAGAAAATGCAACTTTTTTTCATAAGATAAATGAAACTATCAGAGTCTTTCCAAAAATTCAAACAAAGATAACAGACTCAATTGCTAGTTTAAAAAAATTTAATTATGCAAAATAAAATTTCCTGCGGACCGGCAACGGGTTGGGGAACGGAAGACTGCCTTATCCGACATATTTTCAACATTTTCTTCAATTTCTGCACCGAAAGTCAACGCGTTCTCGTTGCTTATTGGGCTATGCTGAATCCAAAATAAAAGGAAAATTGATTAATTTGAAGTTCGAAAATGGATGGAAGACAATTCAAATTTGTAAAGCTGGAATTTTATGCATTTTTCGCTCTTTTGAAACACTACGAATCCGTCTGTTTCTAACGAAGAAGCTATTTTGCGGAAAAAAACAATTACTGGCTTATAGCTACTCAGTAAAATACAGCTTTGCGGTTCAATTTCATATACAGTACATATTTTCGATACCAGTGCAGAATGTGGGGCCCAGAAGAATACAAATGCCATAAAGAAAATGTATCAGTAAGTCAGAAAGACAAAGAAAACTAAAAAAATTTCCAGCCAGACTGACCTCAAAAATAGTGATCGTAAATGAGACTTCGCGAGGTTTTGACAAACTTGAACAAAAATTTCAACATCGTTATTTGAACACGTCCTTAAAAAAAAATCAAGGTTGATGGAAGCTTTCAAAGAAGACTTCAGAGAAAACATCAAAGGTGTTGAAGAAATTTTCGCTGCGCGTGGTTTGGACCGGAACACGAGAAAATCGGAAGCGGAATCTAGCAGATCACCGACATCCGCCTCAAATGAAGAGTCACCCGACGATGAACAGTTGTCCCAGTTGGCAATTCAAGTCCTCGAACTTTCGCAATCGTCTTGCGAGGAAATTCGCAGTTCGCTCTTTGCCTTGGAATTCCGAGCCGCAGGGGAACTCGATGTAAGTGTACTAGAACAGAGGTCCCCAACCTTTTTGGGCCAAGGAAACGTCAAAGTTCAGCAACAAAAATGTGTAGTCCAGCGAAAAAAAATAAAATAAAAAATTCTGCAGACTGGCAAAGTTTCAGAAAATTGTTTGCAGACACTCGAATGTTTTGCTTGAAGGATTTATGGCAGTTTATGAAATTTTTCTTTTGCAAAAATTCTTTCAAGCATCAATGAAGCAGCTGAAGTTGAATGTCATCAAAAATTAGAAAGATGCATGGGCTTTAGGAAAGGTTTTTATCACTTATCATGTGTGTAGAAGTGAGCCATTGATGAAACAAAGGCACTGATGCAAATAATATTGCACAATATTACTGCTGACGGACTTTGAATGCTACATAAATCGGTGAGAGTAATTTTTTTTATTTCAAATGTGAGTTTTACCCAACAAGAAGCGAAATGGCAATTTACTCTACGTATCTACTCAAGTATCACACATCCATTATCTATAGTCTAGTAAAACGCACCTATAATTAAAATAAAAGTCTATATCCATCCAGCAGGGAAGAGAAAAACCCCGTTTTTAGTGGTTCGAAAATTGCCGTACAGTACTTCGAAAATAAAAACGAAACAGAATTATACTTTAAGGTAACACGTCTTCAATTCATTTTCGAGTTTCCGATGTTCTTTAATTGTTTGCTGAGTTGGGTCCAAAGTTCTCCTTTGAAATCAATTATGATCTTGGAACATCTTGAAAATTTCTATTTCCGCTCACGAGACTCTTTTTCCTTCTAAGTTTGATAAAAATTTGTGTGGTTATTGAAGTAAAGATATTAATTCCTTGGTTTCTATGAACATTGCCTCGAAGGCCACAGAATAAAATTACTGGAAACTGGATGTCTAGTGAAATAAATGTTGATTTAAAAATGTTATATCCTGGGAGAAGTTGATATGTCTCTAATCTCTGTCAAAGAGGTTGTTGAAGTAACTTCCTGTACCAAAAAATAAACATATTCTCACATAACTTGAAGATGGTACAATCCAGAGTAAACGTATGACACACACTAGGCTTTGAACAAAACGATGCGAACAAAAAACATTAATTTGTTTTTGTTTTTTGAAGAATGCGCTGAAAATATTTGATAAGCAAATGACCTCTTCGAAAGAAGCTCTCGTTTCCCTCATCTCCAAGGACTTGCAGAAAGTACTTCGGCTCGCTCAAGAATTGGAAAAGTCACTTCGAAACTTGAATGCTGCTCCAGCAGTGGAGGTAATATGAAGAACCTTTCGTTCATCTGTTCACATTTTTTAGTTTTATAAACACACGCAAACAAAGCAATGTAAAACAATAACTTTCCAGGAGGGAAACGACGAGGAGACGAGCAATAACTTCATGCCCTTGATGTGTGATCTACATATGGCTCAGCAGAGCATCTCGTCTTACCTCGACGAATTCGCCTCTCGATTAACCTTTTGGCAGAAGGAAGTCGTGGATGAGATCACGAAGTACAGTAGCTATTTTTCTGAAAGATTGCCTTACATTAATTTGCGATTGTGTATTAAAATTCCTTCATTCAACAGGAGCTCGGAAACTCGCCATCGGAGACGTATTGGTGACATCGTGTCGTTTTCCGAACGTCACTTGAAAAAGGTGGATGATCTCAGGATTGCTCTGGATATTGCGAATGCGGAATCTGCATCGAAAGGGTTGGAATAAAACCAAGCGAAAAAACCAAAAAAGTGACGTATTATCTTCCAAAAATCAATTTGAAAAATAGAGCGAGACATCGTAATTTTATGCTACGAAACAAAAAATGCGAATATAAGATGTCTTGGAAAAACAGGTCATCCGGGAGAAAAAACAAAACAAGAATAGAAAAACAAGGTATGAATTGCCAAAATTTGCGAAAATCTTCCGTTTCAGTAATCGAAAAATATCAAAAACAGCCAAATTGCCACAATTAATCAAATTCATTTTTCAGACTGAGAATATTGCTTAAGAGTCATGATGCTACAGTATTAGCTAATACAGTATGGAACTGGTTAGACATAATTTAATTTGAATTATTTTTTGCATTCTTCATGCTTTTTTGGGGTTTTGATCGCTCATCGAGAGAAGTGGTATGCAGTACTATATACTGAAAATAATTTCAGTGGTCGAAATGCATGTTTTTAATTCATTTTTTTCCGAATTTAAGTTATTTCCTGTCGAGATCCTGTCTTCGCAAAATATTCCCCAGAATGACGCCTGGATTAAACGTTGCATACATTTTGACAAACAAAAACTTTGTGCAAATACAGGATGAAAAAATCAATTTTTTTTCCTCCTGCAAAAGCTGTACGAATTCAATCATGCTAAGTGTGGGCCGTTAACCCCGAATCTTTTGCAAACACACATAAATAAGAAAGACCCTTCAAACAGGGGCATCAATTATGCTCGCAGGTGAACCCGGTGAGCTACCCCAGGAAGTGAAGACCAGGGGTTGCTTTATCGGGTTTGTTGGGCAGGGTTTTATCCGCGCCCGCAATTACATTCTCCATGCACTGATGCATATATATCCGGGGGTTTTTCTCACACAGGGGCGGGTCTCGGGTTTTGATCCAGTTGGGTATAGGGGTATATAGTACAGTATAACCTTTTCCCGCCCTCGTCTCGATCTTCCCGAGGAACGCTTCCAAACTTTGAATGGCAAAAGTTACCTGGTCATTTATATCGAATGATAGGTCACAGGCATCATTCAGACGGAAACTTGCTTTACTATGGGCCATATCGTCTACTTTTCCTTCGTGAATTATATTTTTTTTAAAGAATCGAATCGGCGCTGGAAATACAGTACAAATAAAGCAATCAATGTGGAATGAACGATTTCCCTCGAAATATAGCGTGTATGAGCCATGCACATAGGTTTTGCTGGCCAAAATACTGCAATGCAATTTTCTTGGCTAATTTATTATTTTCTGCTTCCCTTCCGGAGACATTTTTTTTACAGAATCGAATTCGGTATTCCACAGGAAGTTTTTTTGCATTTGCTGTGCCGAGTCGATTCTATTAAAAATATTATTATTCGTTAAATTTTTATTATTATTCAATTTATTATTTTTTACTTTACTTCTTGAAACAATTTTCTCAAGAGGTCGAATCGGTTATTCTACGCAAAGTGCTGATTTATTTATATTTTTCGTGCCGATTCAATTAGAAAAATTAAAGTAAAGAATTAAAATCACAAAAAACTGGGGTTCGTGAAAATTTAACAAAAAAATCATGGGGCCCATCGTATGTGGGGGTGCAGTATTTGCTCCAGTGAATACTGCATGTGAAATTAAAGTACTGTGAAGTGTGAGAAAATGCTTCCAATGGACGCCTTGCCTCCTTCGAGGCGTACAATCCGTACATGAACGGAAGGTGAAGACAACACCGAATACAGCTTTCACGTTTTCAATGAACTGTACTCATAATGTCAGCAGTTTATTTTACAGTATACGGCATGAACATTTATGCACATGAATTTGATGCCTATTCCTGTCGCTTGATTCCGGGAAATACTGTAGTCAGCAGGAAGAGAAGAGGAAGGGAATTCAGGAAAACAAAAGAACAAAAAAAAAACAAAAAAAATTGCGGCTCACGAATATCAGTGCGGAACACGGTCTCATCAAGAGCAGTTGCACCTGCTGCTGCTGTTGCTGATGGTGATGTGTGCACTGTAAAAGTAAAAGCTGGTTCAGTTGGGTGGGATCAAGTTCCTCTTTTCACTGTTCGTTCATGTATAGGAACTGATTCACCGGGTGTGGATGTCCATGATCTCACATGTGTTCAGCATTACAGTATTGCGGTTCGTGATGGTGCAGGTGAATTCACTCCATGAACATTTCTTGCTGAAGGACAAGCCATTTATGCGTGCGTGTGTGTGTGTGTCTATGTAGTTTGTGTTAGTGGAATATATTTTTTTGTAATTGAAATTTCACAATTATGTTGGATCCGAGAAACCTATGGCTGAGCATCAGTGTCGTGTTCCCCATTGATCAGCAATTGACGCTCCTTTTTCTGTCGTGCCTGAAATATTATTGAAATTCTGCGAGATATTCGCGTTATCCACAGGAGAAACAAAATGAAATTTTTGAAATATTCAGAAAAAATGTTCCAAGAACATTTAAGTTATCGGATTGTATGTTGCATTGCCTCTGTTTACGAACTTTTATAAAGAAACAATGTTCCAAGAAAATTAAAATTATCGGAATGTATGTTGCAATATCTCTGTTATAACAAACTTTTTTGTTCAGAGCTGCGAATGAGTCTGTGCGTTTAAATTCTATTAGCCAAGTAATGAGAAATTATTCGGAATAAGTTTTTTGCATTCCATTTGGGAAAAAAACTTTATTATATTCCTAATTGCGTTGGAGTGTTCGGAATTTCTCTCTTCGGAAGTTTCTACTGATATTTTGTGCTTCAGTAGAAAAAAAATGTGTAAATGCGAAGGTTTTCATTCGTCATGCACAAGAAGTAATACTAAGTTTATCTAGTGAAATTTCTCCGGGTCATTAAATTGTACCTTTCATTTAATGAACCTTTCGAAGACCCCAGGAAACCAAGTACTGTATCACGAAAATGAACGCAAAAATCCTTCAAGTGGTTCCACTGTCTGAAACCTGAAAGAACAGCAAAATGATTCAGAAATTAGGGAAGTTCAATACAAGATATCTAAGCATGTAAAAAAGCACTCCAATAAAATGTATGTTGATAAGCAGTTTCTCCGAAAGCAGTGTCTTTTTTGAAAAAGTGATCATTTGTCTTGGAGGAATTTCGGATACTTGAATTTATGTATCCAAAATTGGATGACTCTTCACACGCGTTCTCTTGGTTTTTAGGTTACCTTTCAAAAATCGATTGTCAACTGGGATAATTTTTGGATTCAGTAGATAGCTCATCAGCGAATTGAAGTTCATACTTGTACTTCCTTCTATCCTTCATTTCACATTATACAGAGAGACATTATTTGAAACCCTCGCTCCACGCAAATATCACCTCGCTTTGAAAGTGCGGTAATTTTCATTTTGTGTATCGAAAAGGTTCTTCTGAGTGCCATCCATTAGAAATACATTAACGCACTTACAGAGCTGGAATTTTCTGAGTGTTTCCAATGAGGCCGTCTCATCACATCTTATTTGCTCTTCTGGTCAGCTTATTGACGGGTGAGTACCGGATTTATGTCATTAATACTCATTATTACCTGCATGGGCATAGGGAGAGTCGGCAATCAGTATTATACAAGAGGTCCACAAACACATTCAAAATTTTGAACACAAAAATATGGACTTTATATGAATATCTGACTGTTCAGCAACACTTTCAAGTGCGCGGAAATATTTTTCATATCCTCTGTCTGAATTTTATTGTCAAATGATCGCAAAATAAGCAAACCGGATTCTTGAATATATTGGCCGTATTATTTCAGTCAATGCATTGCCTGTGCAGTAATGAATCGATTACAGTCTTTACTAATATTTTAAGCTTAGAATCTGGGGTTCTCCAAAAAGCACTTCTTGATTATCTCCGTCACGATTTTCTTTACATGATCTGAATATTTTTTTTTTTTAATTTGAGCAAAAAAACATATGCGCCCGAAAAACTTTTTTGTTTGTTTGTTCAGAATGTTGGATTCTCTGTAAAAATCTCGAATATTTGCTTCATGATTTTATGTGCATTAAATTGAT